GTTTTCTAGTTTAGCTCAGCATCCGCTGGACCATTCAAAAAGTGCGCCATACATTTTTTGTTCGGAACTTTTTCCCTATTTTATTGGTGGTATTCCCGAGACATTATCTCGCGATTTTAATTTTTCGAAAATTTTTCCCAATTTTTTTGAGTGTAGCTCAGCATCCGCTGGACCAATCAAAAAGTGCGCCATACATTTTTTGTTCGAGACTTTTTGGTCATTTTTTTGGCGGTATTCTTAAACTATTATCTCGAAAATTTAATTTTTCGAAAATTTTTCATAAATTTATTTGAGTGTAGCTCAGCATCCGCTGGACCAATCAAAAAGTGCGCCATACATATTTTGTTCGAAACTTTTTCCCTATTTTGTTGGCGGTATTCCGGAACGATTATCTCGCAAATTTAATTTTTCTAAATTTTTTCCAAATTTGTTTTCTAGTGTAGCTCAGCATCCGCTGGACCAATCAAAAAGTGCCCCATACATTTTTTGTTCGCTACTTTTTGCTAAAGACAGTTATGGCATTCCGGAGCAATTATCTCGAAAATTTAATTTTTCAAAATTTTTTCAGAAATTTATTTGAGTGTAGCTCAGCATCCGCTGGACCAATCAAAAAGTGCCCCATACATTTTTTGTTCGCTACTTTTTGCTAAAGACAGTTATGGCATTCCGGAGCAATTATCTCGAAAATTTAATTTTTCAAAATTTTTTCAGAAATTTATTTGAGTGTAGCCCAGCATCCGCTCGACCAATCAAAAAGTGCGCTATACATTTTTTGTTCAGAACTTTCTTCTAATGACTTTGGTGGTATTCCCGAACAATTATCTCGCAAATTTAATTTTTCAAAAATTTTTCCGAAATTTATCTGAATGTAGCTCAGCATCCGCTGGACCAATCAAAAAGTGCGCCATACATTTTTTGTTCAAGACACCCGGATTAAGACTTTGGCGGTATTCCCGATTAATTATCTCGCAAATTTAATTTTTCAAAATTTTTTAAAAAATTTATCTGAGTGTAGCTCAGCATCGGCTGGACCAATCAAAAAGTGCGCCATACATTTTTTGTTCGAGACTCCCGGGTTAAGACTTTGGCGGTATTCCCGATTAATTATCTCGCAAATTTAATTTTTCAAAATTTTTTAAAAAATTTATCTGAGTGTAGCTCAGCATCCGCTGGACCAATCTAAAAGTGCCCCATACATTTTTTGTTCGAAACTTTTTCCCTCTTTTATTGGCGGTATTCCGGAGAAGTTATCTCGCAAATTTAATTTTTTGAAAATTTTTCCGAATTTGTTTTCTAGTTTAGCTCAGCATCCGCTGGACCATTCAAAAAGTGCGCCATACATTTTTTGTTCGGAACTTTTTCCCTATTTTATTGGTGGTATTCCCGAGACATTATCTCGCGATTTTAATTTTTCGAAAATTTTTCCCAATTTTTTTGAGTGTAGCTCAGCATCCGCTGGACCAATCAAAAAGTGCGCCATACATTTTTTGTTCGAGACTTTTTGCTCAATTTTTTGGCGGTATTCCCAAACTATTATCTCGAAAATTTAATTTTTCGAAAATTTTTCATAAATTTATTTGAGTGTAGCTCAGCATCCGCTGGACCAATCAAAAAGTGCGCCATACATATTTTGTTCGAAACTTTTTCCCTATTTTGTTGGCGGTATTCCGGAACGATTATCTCGCAAATTTAATTTTTCTGAATTTTTTCCAAATTTGTTTTCTAGTGTAGCTCAGCATCCGCTGGACCAATCAAAAAGTGTGCCATACATTTTTTGTTCGGAACTTTTTGACTATTTCATTGGTGGTATTCCCGACCGATAATCTCGCAAATTTAATTTTTTGTAATTTTTTCCAAATTAGTTTTTTACTGTAGCTCAGCATCCGCTGGACCAATCAAAAAGTGCGCTATACATTTTTTGTTCGCCACTTTTTTTTTTTTTTGTTCGAAACTTTTTGACTATTTTTGCTTCCTCGTGGAGGAAACTTTGTAGTCCTTTCGTTTATAAAACTTTTCAAAGTAGCGAAAACAAATTTTTTTCTTTATAGAAACATGTTATATGAGATCCTGATCAATTGTCCGGATGTATGTATGTGTGTGTGTGTGTGTGTGGATCCCTTTTTTGTTTAGAAGATAACTTTAACAGGTTTTAATGGATTTAGATAAAATTTGGTAGGCTCATTTATCATATTAATATCTCAAATCTGAACAAAGGATTTTTAAAAATACCTCAAAAAAAAATTTTTATCGTCTTTCTTCCAAAAATTTTTTTTTAATCGAAAAAATTTTTAAATGGAAAAATTTAAGGTTATATATAATAAAATCGTATTCCTTACGTTAAGACAAATCGATCGATATATATAAAGTATACATTTGAGGTAAATTTAAAGAATTAATGAAAGTTAAAAAATCAGAAATTCAAATTTTAGCAATAAAACTTTGCTTTCTCCACGAGGAAGCAAATTTTTTTGCTGATCGTAAAGAGGAAGCAAAATGTTCATGTAATGAACATCTGAATTTACAACTTTTTGGTAAGTTTTTTATGCTTTTGGATGAGTTTTTGGTCATAAAAATGGTCTTCCTCTACTCGGATCTGGGTGTCAATTTTTTTCTACACTTTTCGGTGTATTTTGTGCAAAAATATGCAATAAAATCTTCTGCCTAAGAAAAATTGAATTTTTTTGGTAAGTTTTTTATGCTTTTGGATGCGTTTTTGGTCATAAAAATGGTCTTCCTCTACACGGATCTGGGTGTCAATTTTTTTCTACACTTTTCGGTGTATTTTGTGCAAAAATATGCAATAAAATCTTCTGCCTAAGAAAAATTGAATTTTTTTGGTAAGTTTTTTATGCTTTTGGATGCGTTTTTGGTCATAAAAATGGTCTTCCTCTACTCGGATCTGGGTGTCAATTTTTTTCTACACTTTTCGGTGTATTTTGTGCAAGAATATGCAATAAAATCTTCTGCCTAAGAAAAATTGAATTTTTTTGGTAATTTTTTTTGGTTTTTCATGCGTTTTTGGTCATAAAAAAGGTCTTCCTCTACTCGGATCTGGGTGTCAATTTTTTTCTACACTTTTCGGTGTATTTTGTGCAAGAATATGCAATAAAATCTTCTGCCTAAGAAAAATTGAATTTTTTTGGTAATTTTTTTTGGTTTTTCATGCGTTTTTGGTCATAAAAATGGTCTTCCTCTACTCGGATCTGGGTGTCAATTTTTTTCTACACTTTTCGGTGTATTTTGTGCAAGAATATGCAATAAAATCTTCTGCCTAAGAAAAATTGAATTTTTTTGGTAAGTTTTTTTGGTTTTTCATGCGTTTTTGGTCATAAAAAAGGTCTTCCTCTACTCGGATCTGGGTGTCAATTTTTTTCTACACTTTTCGGTGTATTTTGTGCAAGAATATGCAATAAAATCTTCTGCCTAAGACAAATTGAATTTTTTTGGTAATTTTTTTTGGTTTTTCATGCGTTTTTGGTCATAAAAATGGTCTTCCTCTACTCGGTTCTGGGTGTCAATTTTTTTCTACACTTTTCGGTGTATTTTGTGCAAAAATATGCAATAAAATCTTCTGCCTAAGAAAAATTGAATTTTTTTGGTAAGTTTTTTATGCTTTTGGATGCGTTTTTGGTCATAAAAATGGTCTTCCTCTACTCGGATCTGGGTGTCAATTTTTTTCTACACTTTTCGGTGTATTTTGTGCACGAATATGCAATAAAATCTTCTGCCTAAGAAAAATTGAATTTTTTTGGTAATTTTTTTTGGTTTTTCATGCGTTTTTGGTCATAAAAAAGGTCTTCCTCTACTCGGATCTGGGTGTCAATTTTTTTCTACACTTTTCGGTGTATTTTGTGCAAGAATATGCAATAAAATCTTCTGCCTAAGAAAAATTGAATTTTTTTGGTAATTTTTTTTGGTTTTTCATGCGTTTTTGGTCATAAAAATGGTCTTCCTCTACTCGGATCTGGGTGTCAATTTTTTTCTACACTTTTCGGTGTATTTTGTGCAAGAATATGCAATAAAATCTTCTGCCTAAGAAAAATTGAATTTTTTTGGTAAGTTTTTTTGGTTTTTCATGCGTTTTTGGTCATAAAAAAGGTCTTCCTCTACTCGGATCTGGGTGTCAATTTTTTTCTACACTTTTCGGTGTATTTTGTGCAAGAATATGCAATAAAATCTTCTGCCTAAGACAAATTGAATTTTTTTGGTAATTTTTTTTGGTTTTTCATGCGTTTTTGGTCATAAAAATGGTCTTCCTCTACTCGGTTCTGGGTGTCAATTTTTTTCTACACTTTTCGGTGTATTTTGTGCAAAAATATGCAATAAAATCTTCTGCCTAAGAAAAATTGAATTTTTTTGGTAAGTTTTTTATGCTTTTGGATGCGTTTTTGGTCATAAAAATGGTCTTCCTCTACTCGGATCTGGGTGTCAATTTTTTTCTACACTTTTCGGTGTATTTTGTGCAAGAATATGCAATAAAATCTTCTGCCTAAGAAAAATTGAATTTTTTTGGTAATTTTTTTTGGTTTTTCATGCGTTTTTGGTCATAAAAAAGGTCTTCCTCTACTCGGATCTGGGTGTCAATTTTTTTCTACACTTTTCGGTGTATTTTGTGCAAGAATATGCAATAAAATCTTCTGCCTAAGAAAAATTGAATTTTTTTGGTAATTTTTTTTGGTTTTTCATGCGTTTTTGGTCATAAAAATGGTCTTCCTCTACTCGGATCTGGGTGTCAATTTTTTTCTACACTTTTCGGTGTATTTTGTGCAAGAATATGCAATAAAATCTTCTGCCTAAGAAAAATTGAATTTTTTTGGTGATCGTAAAGAGGAAGCAAAATGTTCATGTAATGAACATCTGAATTTACAACTTGTTTTATTTAATTTATTGTTTATAATTATTTGTTAAATGTTTAATTATTTATTTAATTTAAATTATAAATATATGCAAATTTCAAAAAAAAGGGAAATGGTTCATTTGTCGAATAAATTAAAACACACTTTATTTATTATACAACCCGTTTATTGTAAGCTTGAATCATATATCAGACAATGTTCTCGTTGAATATATAACTCAAGTTTTTTAAAATAATAATAATTTCTTACACGTCCCAAAACACAAGTATAGGATCGAGCTTTTTTTTTTTAATGAGTGTGTAAGTTATATTCACATGTATAATAATGAGACTTGTGTGTGCGCGCATAGTGAAAAGATATACATATACAAATATATATGTTCAAGCGCAAGTTTTCAAAAAAAAAAAAAATAATAATAATAATAATACACTATACAGCTAAAAATTAACTCCTTTCATTATTACAACGGCCTAACTACATACATAGTTATGTCTTGTATTTGTGTGTGTATTAAGTTCTATTATTCCCTCCTACAAACTCGTATTACATTAAATCCTTCTGATCGAAAAAGGAAGTGTCTAAGAAATCGCAGCAGTACCGCTATTTAAACGAAGCTATTTTTCAAAACTAGAGAAAAGATAGAGCTTATTTTTTTTTGTCGAGTAAATGAAAACTATTTTATTTTTGTAAATAAAAAATTTCAAAATAAAAACCTCCTAAATTAGACACGATTTTTTCTTATTATAAAGTGATTTCAACCGGTATTATCAAGTCTAATTAAAGAGATCTTATTGCATTTTTAAAAATAAAATTTTTAATAAAAAAAAAAATATGGACGGAGTTAGGAGGGCATTATTTTTTTTAAAAAAAGAATTAAAATTTAACAGTCCACTGTGATATATCGAAATTTTTTATGTTTCAAACTAAGTGCAATCTATTTTATTATATTTTCTAATGAAAGCTCGTTATATATTAATTTTATTCAAGCTTAGGCCACAGAGACTTCTTTTTTTTAATATAGCGATGATTATTTGAGCTAAAAAATATTATTAATATTATTTTTTATTATAATTATTATTATTTTAGTTAATAAATTCTCTAAAGTATTTCTCAAAAAAAGTGGTGAATTTAATAATATTTTTTTTTTTCACACACTTTAGATGGTAATTTGTCTTCTAAAAAAGAGAAATACTATAATTAAACTACGAACACACTTAATCACAATTTTTTTTTTCATTTTCAAGGAAATAAATACTCGACTTGCTCTTTTTTCTCATGTTTTTTTTTTTTTTTTTTTTTTTTTCTTTTTTCATTTAACTTTGATTTTTTTTTCTCTTTTACTGATTATTTCAATATTAACAATTATCCTTTTTAATGCGCAAAGCGATCGCATACACGGACTGCTATCGATTATTGTATACACAGGTTACTTTTATGTAGGCTTAATCGTATTTGTCGATAAAATTGACCTCATTTCACTCTATGGTGTAAACGCACGATCGCATTATAATAACACGGATGTGAGAATTTTAAAAAAAAGAAAAAAAAAGAAAATTTTTTTAAAAAACTATTTCAAACATTTTTTTTTTACAATTTTTTTATTTTAAGAAAAAATTTTTTGCGATCGAGAAAATAAATAATTTTGTTTACACTTATAGAGAAATAATATGCGTTCACACATTCTGAGCATAATTCAATTAGATATATATTTAAAAATCTTTCTCTAAAAATTACATTTACTCTGGCAATTGAACTAAAGGAAATGAAATCGTAAAATGGCACAATAATTTTTCAAAGTTACAAAAAAAAAAGAAATTAATTTAAAAATAATAATAAATGATTGAAAATAATATTTTCATAGAATTCAAAATTTCTTGCGCCGTTCACGTTTTCAATTTCCCAAAAAAAAAAGTAAAAACTACCTTTTTTCTACAGAAAAAAGGTTGCATTTAATAAAAGCTCTTCAGAGCGTTTCGTTGTTATTTTCTTTTCACTCTCTATTGCGTATTATTTTCAACCTTTATATTATGTTACAATGAATAATCAAAATTCAATAAAAAAAATCAATTTAAAATTATTTTCTTTTTTTTTTTTTTTTGATAATGTTGAAACATTATCACGTTTTTGACGTTAAATATAAGGACTCTCGATTCATCTATAATCGCATCTTTTTTTTCTACTCTCGGACTTGTTTAAACTTGTGTCCTTTTTTTTCTAAGCGTATGCTAAACATATTTCTTAATATTAATATAGTAATAATATTAATATATATATATATACGTTTACCACTAAACGAAATATTTATTTTCTAGAATATATATTTAATATATTTCTCGTATTATATATTTAATATTTATACCCTCGTACTTTTTTTTTATATTAATATATACACATATATAGTATATTGCTATGCAATTCAGCTTTTTCTTATATTTTTTTAAAGGTATATTATATATATTTTTCTGTATATAATAATAACATTTTTCATTTAATTACATTTATAGTATATGTATAACGTGCTCCTTATTGCTCTATGAGGTTTATTTCAGACAACAGAGATCGTTGTTTTTTTCCGGGTGAAAAAAAAATTAGCAAATACAAAAAAAAGTATTTTTTATTTTTTTTTTGTAAAAGCGCACATGCTGCCATTGTTTTGCTCTTATCTTTATTTTTATGCCATCCAGCATTTATGCAGCAAATAAGTCTTATCGACTTCAATTACGTACGTGTGCATTTTTTTTTCTTTTTTAAAAATAAAAATTAAGGCTTCTGCTCCTATATAATTTGTAGGTCCAATTTCCTTATTAAAAATTGACTTGAATTGTACATGTATATATATATATATCTAAAATAAAAAAAGAACTTTGATTGTTTCTAGCACATTCGGCATTACTTTTTGTGATATAAGCGATAATTTCATATATATATATAGCGAATTAGAAAGCTCATTGATGTTAGGATGAATTAATTAATATATCAATTTAATAACAATTAATACATTAACTTAGTACCAATAATTTTTTTTTCTTTTTAATATTTTTTTGTATAAGCTCAATACATTTTTTTTTTAATATCAATAGAAAAAAATTTTCAAAATAGATTTTCGCGAAGAAACTTAATAATAATAATAATTTTTTGCGTATTTACAATTGCGATATCATTTATATAATAAAAAGCTGAATGTTATTTTATAATGAAGTCGTATAAAAATGTAAGAATAAATATATAGCAAAAAAAAAAAAAAAAAAAAAAAACGAAATAACAAACTGAAGTCCATTTAACTTGTATTTATACATATAGGCATTTATAGCCTTTTGTTTTACTAAAATTGCGAAACCTGGAACACAAATTTGCCTATATTTTTTATTTCGATCATTCCCTGTAGCTTTTTTTTTTTTCTTTTTTTTTTGAGCACCCTACTATATAAGAACCCTAAAGTACATTTTTAATGTACACATGCTTTGTTTTTTTGCACCTTTAATTGCACTAATGTAAACCGTTGAAGTACGTATTTCGTCGAGTCCTGGCATGGGTGGGTTTATATCTTATCACAAACCGCTCCTCTAAATCCTCTCCAAACCTCCGAGCGCCTGAAACAAATAAAAATAATTTGTCAATTTTTCAGTTTGTTTTTTCCTTATATAAGAAAATTAATTATTTTTTCTCTTTTTTTGTTTTTAATTTATTTTATTTGTGAATTAAATGAAATAATTTTCATCAGAAAATAATAAATTTTGTGACTTATTAAATAAATTATTATTATTATTATTATTATTATTGTTATAATTATTTTTATAATTATTGTTATTAGTATTGTTATTATTATAAATTTTCTATGGGAATAAGAAGAAAAAGTGAAATTTATTCATGAAAATAGCTTTGCTTTGCAAGATTATTGAAGCATGCACCACTTGGGTAAACAAAGATCATAGTTTTCGAAATTAAGCACGAATGGCTAAGTAACTCTTTGCAAAGATAACTTCGAGCCTGATTTGAATATCGAGCTTTTCTCAACTAACCCCTTTCCTCAGGTATAGTTAAAATTCATTAAAAGTAGATACCACTTTTCTTCAAAATACCATTTCCTTTATTTAAGAAAAAAAAAAATCGTTTCATTTTTTCAAAAACTTTTTTTCTATCATAGATACTTTTGAAGGAATCCATATTAATGGATATGAGAAATTTTTTTTTATCAAATAATTTTACAATTTCACACTAGTTAAAAATAATAATAAAATAAATGCTGATATTTAATTATTTTTCAAACGTATTTTCCATTATTTAAATTAGCATTTAACGGAAATTTTTCTTTTTTTACGAATTTTTACTTAACATAATTTTTTACCTACCGAATTTTTATTTGGCAGAATTTTTTTTGGCAGAAGCTTTATTTTACAGTCATTAACTTTTTATTTAAAAGAATTTTAATTTAAGTGAATTTTAATTTAACACAATTTTTCATTCAATTGAATTTTATCTAATTCGAATTTTTAAATCACAGAAATTCCAATTCACCGAATTTCAATTTATCCGAATTTTTAAGACGCCGAATTTTCATTTCTCCGAAATTACAAATGACCGAACAAACAATCGACAGAAATATTTAGGCGCAATTTTTGAAAATTCACCAATTATAGAAATTATCAAGAAAATTGTGATTGGTCAGTTTTATAAATCGCGCCGAAATCTTTCTGTCGATTGTTTGTTCGGTCATTTGTAATTTCGGACAAATAAAAATTTTTGCGTTTTAAAACTTCGTACAATTAAAATTTGATACAAATAAAAAATTCGGATAAATTTAAAATTCGGTGAATTGAAATTTTTATGTCAATTTAAAAATTCAAATCACATAAAATTTGATTGAATGAGAATTGTGTTAAATTAAAATTCTTTTAAATGAAAAAAATTCATCTAAAGAAAATGACAGTAAAATAAAAATTCTGTAAAACAAAAATTTAGTACCTAAAAATTTTGTTATGTAAAAATTCGTATATAAAAAGAAATTCTGTCAAATGCTAATTAAAAAATTGAAAATTCGTCTAAAAAATAATTATTTTTAATAAAATTCTAATAAATTATTTTTATGGGAGAATCATGCGCCTTTAATTATATAAAAAAAATAATTTCAGTAAAAAACAAAATCGTTTCCTTTTTTTAAAAAAATTTTGTTTATCATACTTTTGAAAAATTCGTTAATGGATATGAGAATATTTTTTTGCCCAGATAATTTCACAATTTTACTCTAGTTAAAAATAATAAAATCAATGCTAATATTTAATTATATGTATACAAATATAAATAAATAAAAATATAATTGTAAATTTATAAAAAAAAAAAAATTTATGTTATTTTTTACTTTAGATACTGTAAGGTACATAAAAATTGATTTTATTTTATCCCATAAATATACTTGTGAGAAACTTGAAACTGGAGCATAGACCTTTTAAAGTGTTATATTATAATTAATTGACAAGATAAAACGTGTAAACATTTTAACTTTCAATTTACCGATTTTTTAAGTAAAATTTAAAGTTTTGCTATTGTCGATATGGCAAAACATTTTCAATTTCCAATATTGAAAAGTTTTTAAAGCTCGTTTTTTATAAATATATATATATCGTCTCTCTCTTTCTCGTAATCCAGAGACACAGATTCGCGAGAACGATAAAGTGCATAGAGTGTGAGGGGACAAAAAAAAAAAGAGAGTTTTTGGTTCAATTGTTTAGCCAAAGTCCAAGTCCGCGGGCGCAGGTTGAGAGCTTTTGTAAAAATTATAGATTTTATATGATTTATACGACATTGTTGGACATTCTAACTGCATTTCTCGTTTTTTTTCTCTTTATATATATATATATATATATATATATATATATATATATATATATATATATATATAAAACGAAGCGAGAGCCTGGAAATTGGGTTTCGCGCGCGCGTTGGCGTCATTACTTTGTTTATGAGGATGAAAACGCGGTGAGACAGGAAAAGAAAAAAAGGCGTCGTTGAGTAATATTTACCCCCCTAAATCGAAACCCTAGAATTTTATCCAAAGTGGAAGTATACATATACACATACTTTTAAACCAATCAACGGCTTTCCTAAAAGTATCACCCTTTGGCCGATTAACGCAATTTCTGGTGTTCCTCTCTTTTTTTTTATTATTTCATTTAAAACTTTTTGAAAAGAACAGATTAAAGGATATAAAATTAAGTATTTAATTCGCTCTGTTCCGATCTAAATTCACTTTTATCTTTCAGCGAATTTTTTTTTATGACAGTTTTACTTTTGGATGTAATGAAAACATATAAGTATTATTATAGTTTGCATTACGAGTTAAATGTCTTTGTATATTTTCACTTTAAAATTTCATAACATAACCTATAATTTTTTTTGCTTTTAAGGTCCCATTCTTCAGATCGTGTCACAAATATTTTTATATATTAATAATTTATAATTTTTTCATGTATAAATTATTATTATTTTAAAATCAGTTTTCTTTTTGTACATAAGTATTTTTAACCGTCTGACTATAGCAATACTGCATTCACTTGTTTTAATGATCTATGGAAATAAACCGATTTTTCTTATATGTATATATATTTGGAGACCTATTCTTTTTGGTGAATAGCGAAAAACTTTTCTCGTGAAAACTTTAGACATTAGGAACTTTATACCTTCATATGAATATCATGATAAAAAATTAGTTCCACTTTAATTTTTTTACATTCAAAATAGATATATTGTTAAATGGAAAAAATATTTGCAAATGCTTTTTTGCACGGGAAAATTGAAAAATCAAATTATTATTATTATTATTATTATTATTATTATTATTATTATTATTATTATTATTATCAAATAAATATTTATTTGAATCAAAAAATTTACTTGAACCAAATTAATATTCAACCAAATATGAATATTTACTTAAATCAAATAAATATCTAGATACTTGAACCGAATAACTAGGTATATGTAATTGAACTAAATAAATATTTATTTGAATCAAAAAATTATTTACTTAAATCAAATAAATATTTACATGAACCAAATATAAATATTCACTTGAATAAAATAAATATTTAGTTACTTGAACCAAAAGAAGATTTTTAGAGCAAAATATAGAAAATAATTTTTTTTTTTTTGGTGTACAGTTGTAAAAAATGATAAAAAATAATAAATGAATTTATCAAACGAGTTTATTGAAAATTAGTTGTTCAAAATGATTTTGATACAATTACATACGTTGTTAATTACCAACTGATGGCAGAAAGTGAGTTTGTTAATTATACGATTATTTCACGATATGTACAATATGCCCTAACAAGATATATCACTAGTTTGCACTAATTGAACACGTTTGAAATTCCCATAAATTGGACATATATATATATATATATATACCTATTTAGAAGCTTTTGTAATAAACTTTTTATTAAGAATAATTTACAGTTACAAGTATGAGGAATTCGAATTTTATTGCAGTGAATGGACCTTTCGATATTTGTGAAACTCGCAGAAAATGAAGTTTCTTTTCACTTTTTCCCCCCCGATTGACAAGTTTTCAAGAGTAATGAACAATTTTTTTACTAAATAGAAAAGAAAAAAGGCTTATTAAAACATATTTTTAATACCTATATTGATACAACTGAAAAAATGTTTATTTGATTCAAATAATTACTTGACTATTATCAAATAAATATTTATTTTTATCAAATAAATATTTATTTTTATCAAATAAATTTTTATTTTTATCAAATAATTATTATTATTTGATTTAAATAAATGATATTTGTTTTAAAAATTATTATTATTATTGGTTAATAAAAATTATTGGTTCAAATACAGTTTATGTTTATTTAATTGGAATTATTTGGTTTCAAAAATTATTTGATTCAATTAAATATTTATTTGCTAATAGTCAAGAAACCGATTATTATTTGAATCAAATAAATTTTTGTTTCAGTGTATATAATTAATATTTTTAATTTATATAAGGGAAAAATTTATATTCCTACATTGATAAAAGGGTTTAGTATTGACAACCAAACGTTTGGTTGGTATTTAAGCAACCTAATTTTTTTTTATTGAATTAACAAAATTTTGGTTGTCCCAATCAAACTTTAGTTAGGACAACAAAAATCCTTTTTTTTCTAATTTTGGTTGCGTCAAAAAAAATTTGATTGAGACAATTAAAATTTTGTTAATTCAACAAAAAATTGTTGGTTGCTTAAATACCAACTAAACGTTTGGTTGTTAATACCAAACCCTTTTTTTCAGTTTATATAGTATATAGAATTATCGAAATTACACTTGTTTTGTTTATACACGGATTTATGAAGTAAAACCCTTTCGTTGAAAAATATTAAAGACAAATGGCTAATATTATGAATATTTTGTTTTTATTAAAATGAAGTGATAAATATATTGGATCTTTAGCGATAAAAGTGAGAATTTCTTGATAACAATTTACTTTTTTTTTCGTACTTAAGGTATATAATAATCGTAAAAAGAATTGTTTGATTTCCAAGGTGAAGTAATGATTATGCAAATTAATGCCATTTCAGTCAAGTGGGTAATTCGCTCGTAT